CTACACAATCGTTGTAGTGTGCAACCTATATTAAGTTGGGACCTGGAAGAATGTCCCTTTCTAGGAACTTTAAATCTAGATGCCATAGAATAGCATACTTGAACCATTTCCAGCCTTCTCCACTTATCCAAAGGAAATTGATTGCTTAGTAAGAGTTAGCAGAGAGATAGCTATGAATTTGTACTTAAATTATGTTGTAATCTTATGCAGAAGACAACTCCCCATGGATGTCTTTCAGAGTAGCAACCAGCAAGCTCTCCTCAGAAGTTAACCAAAGAGGTTTTCTAGCCCTAGATTTCTAATCTTCAGGAAAAAGACATGTCTTGGTATCCTAATATATGAAGTAAGAATTGCTCAACCATCTTCTTGCTTCCTGTTGCCTGTCATAATGGCTTTCTTTAAGACAGCAATTAGCTCAGCCAACTGACTTCTGAGATTCAGCCACAGTTGAGATCAGGGAAATTGCATTATGAGAATATATTTTTTTTTAATTTAACAGCTAACTGATGACACAACCTGACCACAAAACTCCTAGATTTTAAGACTATAAAAATAGAAAAGGAAAATAGAAACAACGCTGTACATGACTCGTAGAGAATCATAGCTGTGTCTCAGCTACTCAACTGTACAACTATGTGACCTTCATGGGCGCACTTAACCCAAGTTTTCTCAGCTGTCAAAGGGAAATAATGCTTTACATACCTTCCATAGTTACAGTGATAGAAATCCTCTGTTAATGCGGAATGACAGCTTTGTGTAAATAGGTATTAACACAGGGATTTGGTAACAAGTCAACTCAGGTATAAAACCTGGTTAAAACACTTTTGAGCTCTGTGAGTTTAAGTAAATACTTATTCTCTGCAAGAGAGACTTAATAGCAGTACCTACATTAGAGAATCATATTGAAATGTAAATGAAATGCATGTTTAGTCTACTGCCTGGGTATGTAATAAAGACTAAATCTGTTAACTGCCATGCTAAATGTTTTCATGGAACCACATAAATCTATATTAAGAATCAGAATAGCATCACCTCTCACCTACCATAAATTGCTAGTGATGGCAGGTTTGTATTTGATATATAAGACCAGGAACACAGAGCCAGAAACTTTGGAAGAGCTTTAAAGTCATGCCATTGTCTATGATAAGCAGAAAGCTGAAGGGTAGCAACTCTCAATTATAATACATGGTTGAGATTCAAATTGCAAAGTAGAATTTTTTGGGAAAATCCATGTGTATGTTCTTAAGTTGCATCATCATAGTTGTAGAAATCACCCTGAGCCACGTTGAAATCAACTCATAGACCACCATTACTGAGTGGTTGGATGAACCATGGGAGATCCACTAGACCTCAAATGCCATGCTGAGACTCATTGCACATTCTCTGTTCTTGCCCTCAAGAGGCCTATGTTTCCTTGACACAACAGATATTGCATAAATAAGTACAGATATCTGTAAGATAAAAAATATGTGCTCTTTTAACATAGATTATTCTGGAGTTTGTCTTCTATTGAGAAAACTGCCCCATTGTCAATTATGCTATCCCATTCTAAACAAAAGCTTTCATCATTTTTCTCTGTCATAGAGGTCCTTGGTGTTCCCAGTGGAACTCATGGAATTATATCCAACAGTCTCACTAACATGAGCTAGCTCAGACCACAATTTCATCCTAGAAGGTAAGTCAGACTTATTATATTCCAGGTCACAAACAAGTATAGAAATCTGAGTTATGGCAGGATGACATATATATCGTACTCTGTGAATTTGTTCCTTTCCTGAAACTGACATATGTGATTAAAGTAGTTTAGATTAATTTTAGTGTTTAGACACTATCAGAATTTATGTGATGATAGCTTAGTAAAACTGTAGGAATGGAGGGACTCAAGTTCTTTGAAATGAAGATTAGTACATGGCGACTATGAATTAAGCTTTAAATGTAATTCAAGGAAAAACAATCTCCCTTTTGAAGATCTTAGAGTCAGCATTTATCTAAAATCACACCTCTTAATAATAATTTCTGCTTTACCTGAGTGCATTGAGATATGGAGTCTCACTTTTGATCTTGTGTCCTCTGCAAAGGCTGTTCAGTGGTCATCCTAGCAGGCCCATTTTGGCTGAAGATTTGATGAATAGGGAAGGTTAGTGAAGTACAGTGTACAACGTAGTCAAAATGACAGATGTCAGTCAACAGAGAAGATGATCAAGCAGAAGAGAGAGTGTGTGCAGCTTCCAAATGCTGAATTGAACTGACAGCTGTGAAACTGTGACCTAAAGTAGGCACTGCTATCTCAGGAAAGCAGGAACTAAGGGGATGTGCCTGTCAAATCCAGGACAACAACTAACTGGGAGGAGTCTTTCACCTTAGGGAAGTTGGCCCAATAAGTAGAATGGGAGAAAAGTACCTTGTCTCCTCAGAGACTAGATGGTCTTGTGGCTAGCATGACAGTTGCAGGAGCCCCGATTCGAGGGAGCATCCTTGAGCATGTTCACTTCTTGTTACTATCTCCTTTGAAACCTGTATTCTCCTTCTGCATTGCCAGCTTTTGTTAAGGAAAGCTTGATTTAGATGCATCGTCCTTGCCCAAGTATCTGCGAGTCAGCCATAATCTCATCTTTTACTGCTATCAGAACCGGTGGTGGGTAAGTATAGCACTAAGGGAGAAAACTAGCCTTAGATCTAAGATAACAGAACTTCCCCCTAGTGAGTGTGTGCTGGGCCTGGGTTGACTGGCATCAGGGACAGCCTGGCCTCTTCTATGCTGTCTCTCTTAGCCTCTTTCTGGTTGGAGAAGGTAGTGGTAGTGGGTTGCAAGAGATGCTTCCATTCAATCCAGCCTTCCAACCTGGTTTTGATCTCAGGAAGGGAAAGCCCCAGCCTCTCTTTGAAGCAGCAGCCAGCACCACTTGTCTCTTCTCTCCTTCCTGCAGGCACTTCTGTACAGAGTGCTGCCTCTTGCTGGCTCCTTCTGCTTCTGCTCTGTCCCCCTGCTGATTGGGAAGAAAGTGCACCAGTGGGTTGATGGGGTCTGAAACTCTTAAAGGAGCAGCTTTATTTCTGTTGAGAATTTATTTAGAATTTTGTTTGTATGTCCTTTCCTAATCAATAGATCAATTTGATGAAAATAAAACAGTTGACCACAATCCACACACAGTCAAATGTTAACTGCAGATGTTCTGGGTTTGCATAAGTATTGTTTAAGCAAATCAAGCACTAGCTCACAGTGACAATCATTATTAGCAATCAAATGAAATTTGAGTATCAATTACTGAGAGCATAACGTTTGAGGGCCACAAGTCTGAATGGGGCATTTCTTGTCACCTATAGGGTTTATAATCTAGGACAGAATATAAACAAGGCACACAGATAATTTGAAACCCAACCCCCACTGTTTTTCCAGTGGAGTTAACATGTAGCCAGTTAACAAGCTGATTTGAGGTGTGGTCTCCCTCAGGCTGTTCATTCGTTAATTTTTTGACAGTTCCATAGTGTCTGTTGAAGATTTGGGTCCATTCAAATTAGACATCGGGTAGTCCCAAGATACAGAGATTGCAGCACCATAGAACTTAACTTCTGTGTGCCAACAATGTATTTTCTTCCTCGCAACAAAAATGTAAAATAAACTTAACCTTCGGCACAAGCAATCTAAAGACAGATCTGTGACACTTTCTACAGGTTCAAGCTTATGAAAAATATTAGATCTTGAGCAAATTAACTAGTGGGGATCTCAGTTCATAGGGTTCAAGAAACAAAGCTATTCGGATGATTTTGAGTGTATGAAATGTTTGAAAATAAGTATTCAAATAGGAAAGGGAAAGGGGGCAAGATAAATCAAATGCCCAATAGTTTAAGTTATACAGATGGTAAAACTGAGCCTGAGAGTTCTGTCAGTGTTGTCTACAGCTATGCTCACTTCCAGCCCTAAGACTTCAACAGTGTGCCAATACTGCATCTTCCTTGTAAGGATAGCAAGGGAGCAAATCAGATGACTGGACTCCAGACTGAGCAAGCTTTTGTAAGTCCCTATATTCGTTTCTCTTGGGTAGGTGAGGAAACTTTTCCTTTGAGGAACTGGCTAAAGGAATGGATTCATCCTTTCCTGGCCTAAAAGTACAGACTGAAAGGAGGAGAGGGGTGTGGTTAAGCCCCCATTTGCAGAAAGACCCTTCTCAAGCCAGAAGAGAGAGAGACAGCTGGTGCGTGGGATAGTGGGCACACACCCAGCGGTTTTCCCGATTCTAGGATAAGGAAAATGCAGGAGACTTTTGCCCAACACACCAGGTAGCTGTTGGAAGAAACTAACCCTGTAACCACTTATCCCAAGGATCACTCAAGAGGCTGTCCTTTGTCCCTCTCACTGCTGCATACTAAATCCAGGGCCCCAGCTTGCTGACCTACTGAGGGACCTATTACCATCACCCTTCCTAGGAGGATACTGCAGCACGAACTTGAGCTGGGATATGCAGTGCAGCAGAAATTGCTGAAGGTGACCGCCTTGTCCTCCCTGGATAATATGCCCCGTGCTGCAGCCCAGAGGGATGGTGGGGACACAAAAGTTTGATCCAGTGGTCTGAGAAGAAAATATCTAGGCAGGGATAGCAGGCAATGGCAGCAGTCCGACTCCTCCCTTGCAGCAGTTTGTGCACTCTTTTCTGATGGCAAACACTACACCCCAGTGGTAGGTTGGGGGTGGGGGGGTGTCCCATTCTCTAGCCTACATTCTGGTCCCGCGAGACCCCTTTCTATGTCCCTGTAACCTCCTATGGGTCCTGCGATGAGTCTGAGTCTTCAGCTTTGCAACTGCCCCCATCAGCTGATTTTGACAGAATGAGGGGGTCCGGGAGCATAGGAGGGCGGGGCTAGCCCCTGCCAGATCCAAGGATGATAACGTGTCTGCTCCATGTCGCGGCTTCGAGCTGTCCAGGCTCCGCCTCCTGTGAGTGTGTAAGTGTGTGATGCTGCCTCGGCCGCCGCCGCCGCCTGTGCAGCCGCTGCTGCCGCTGCCGCCCCGGCTGCCGCGCCGCGCCACTGCCACTGCCTCACTCGCCCCCGCCTTTGCCGTCGCCACCCGCCTGCAGGCTGCCAGGCGGGCGGTCCAGCCAGCCCCAGCTCTAAGCGGCTGCAGCCGCAGCCTGGGAGCGCTGGGCACGCGGGAATCTACGGAGCTAGTGGACCCGAGCGGGCGGTCAGGCGCTTGCCTGGCTGGTGCCTTAGCTACCGTCACTGCTACTGCTCTGGAGCGTAAGACCAGGTACCCCGGGCACCCGCCACTGCCACTGATGTGGCCAGAGCACTTTTAACCGGGAGGGAGGGCCAGGGAGCCGCGCAGCAGCCCACATCGAGAGAGCAGCACAGCTTAGAGCCGCGACACGCAGCGAGCAGGGACAGACGGCTGCCAGCCGCCGCTGCTGCCACCCGGCCGCTATGGATCTATTCGACTTTTTCAGGGATTGGGACTTGGAACAGCAGTGGTAGGTGTTAAAATTTGCCTTCTCTTTTGATGAACGGGATCCCCTAGTCTGGTCTGGGCTTTTCGCCTTTGTTAAGAGGAACCAGAGCGGTTGTGGGGGGCGCCCGGGACACCCTCCCACTTGCTCCCAGACACCTCTAGCTTTGGCTTCAGTGACTCCTTGGTTGGGAGCTAGGATGGGGGAGGTGCAGGGACAGGGAGGGATGCCCGCAAAAGCATCCCTTTGCACTCCAAGTCTAAAGAGTTGCAGCTGGCCCATAGCAGATTCCATGCCACCCACCCTCACGACCTTGGGGGCTTTTCTCGCCAGTGGCTTACTGGGTAGGATCCAGTCTGAAAAGCTTTAACTTTCCAGTTGCCAGTGCCTGCAGCCAGTGGCGGGAGAAATAACGACAGCCAGGTACTCAGAGGCCACCCTCAGCTTGCATAGTGGCCACCGCCCACACTGTCGCCACCTCCATCCCCACCCGAAAAGGCATAGGTCCAAAATCTTCCCTAAAGCCTCACCACCATAAGTTCCTCTTCTCAGAGCAGTGTCTTCAGGGCTCCTGCACCAGGGATCTCTGGCCCAGTTGCCTTTAGCTCTAGGCTTTCAAGAGGAAGAAGGGTGTTTGAAGTTGGCCCCTGAAGTCTGTAGCTCCCAAGTCAATGCATATTTAATTAGCCTCTGTACCCCTGTTGGCCTCCCAGTTCGTAATGGGCACACAGCTACAATTCCAAGGTTTAACAAAATATTCTAAAGTTGAGGTGGAGAGCTCTTTAAAGATGGTGCAAAGGCGACTGGGGGAGGGGGACAGAAAGTTGTTCCTCTGGGTGGTGTGAAGGCACGCATACATTCTGATCGTCAGATCTATTAACTTTACAAAAACTTCACCCTTTACTACAAACGTTATTGTCCTTTATTCGTCACATTTTTTTCTTTTATTCCCCACCCCAAGCTCAAGTATTTAGAGGAGGAAGGAACCAGGCACAGCAGCAGCGACTTTGAATGACACTCTTAGCTCTCGCCCTTTAAATGTAGTGAGAATAATCTGTAGTGCCCACCAACAGTTTGAAATCTTTTGCAATGTTCAAACTACTAGCTGCTGGCTACGAATGCTGTGCATTTTTGCAGGGATTTCCATTGCCAATGTCATGTTTTAGGCAATTTCCTTCTTTAAAAAGGGTCAGATGCTTGGCCAATAGCTTCATTATGCCACTCATGACTGCTTCGGTTGCAAACCCAAGACACATTACATTTTATTTTATAGCAGTTCTAAATGAACGATTGAATATATCAATACTAATCTATAGGCTCTTTTGCAAAACTATGGAATTTTATCAGCTGTGAGGTAAACATGTTGCAACGAATCTATTCTTATTAAAAGTAAAAGAAAATTCCTGAAATTATTGCTCAATTTATGCTGTGTTCCTGTATATAACCTTTACTATGGCAATTTATTTTACTGACACGTGATAACTATAGCATTATTATTTACATACAATTTGTCTAATATATGCTTTAGGTAACACTTGATTTAACAGACATTGTTATAATTGATTTCAGGGATTAACTGAAATTTTAAACAGATACTAGACATTAGGTTTCAGAATATATGCACACACATATATTAATTCCAGTTTGATGTCATGTGTGCATTGTTTAATATTTCTGCCCTTTCTGCTTAATTTTTGTTTTTCAGGAACATGTGTACCTGTTCCCCTTTAGAGATGCTATCTATTCTTAAAGAAAATACAAAACCATTTTCCTCTTGATCTGTAACTATGTCACATCCATTTTAGAGAAAGCTGACTGATTTGACTATTTGGTAGATGTGATGGAAAATATTGATGAAATAGTATAACATATCTATAAACCTGCCTTCTTCTTCTGTATCCATAATCTAGGACAATTTCTCATTCTTACTTCTTGGTTATGAAGGGCAAGTTTTCTTATGAATCTGTGTCTATAAATATTTGTGATATGGCTGTGCTTCTACATTTTAAGCACATACACAGAGAAAAGAAACACAAATATGACAATGGTGTGTGAATTGAAAAGCTTGTCATTGTCCTTAATGATAATCTGTATATCCTTCAAAATGCTTTGGACATCATGGGACTATATTATATTTACTTCCATTTTGCATAAATAACTAGAAGCTTGAAGCGATAATAGCCACTACGCCAAGTGTGTAGAAAAACAGAAAAAGGGAAAAGACATAAAAGTTAAGGAGCTCATTTGCATTAAACCTAATCACTTGTGGAATAGCAGACTTGGAACTATTTCTATAGTAACTCTACCTAGATATCTATCAATAAATGCATCAGGAGAGGTAAAACAATTAAATGGAAACAACTGATTTTCCTAAGCCTAATGAAGAATGGCTGCACATAAACAGGTATATGCATTATTTACAAACACTTGCTATAGTAAATAAAAAATGAGTGTCCACTGATAAACATAAATCTGTGTTAGAATAAATGTGCACTCAAAAGATGGGGTATGCATGATGCTGTCATGTGTATGTGGAGTATCTGGGAGTGCTTATGCCTTACAGAATGTATCACTTGTTTTTTTGCAAACTACAATGCTATCTTAATGGGTCATGCTCTGGGCTCAATTAAAGGGCAAATGCTCAAGGTCTTTAGGATTCCTGAATGCATGAACAGTGTTCACCTGAGTTGGAATTTAATATGAACCATTCTGTGAAAGGAAAGGAAGACACAGGCATTTGTGTTTGCTAAATACGTTATCTTATTTGTTTAAAAGAAGGAATAAAGATATTGGGGGGGGGGAGAAGCATAGTCCATGCTTTAAATCATTCCATATATTTTTCCTTGTTAATAAAGTAAAGGAATTTTTGAGTTATCTGTAGATCATGTGGCTAGATTTGGACTTCTTTATCAGCAATGGCAACGACATTAATATAAATGTAAAAGCTTACAAATTGTACAGGTTTTCTACCCCATAAGCACCTACCTCCATAGCATCAAGTGCTGTTTTGTGGTATGTCAAATTTCTTTTTGTGAGACAGTTACCTTTTTATTAAAAAGAAAATGTTGGGGGGGGAGAAAATACAAAGAAAAAAATTTAAAGAACATAAAATTGAAAAGTACCATGATAGCAAACCCCAAATATTAAAAATCCTAGGGAAATACATTGTTAAGAGACTGTGACAGTGGCCTAATTCTCATGGCATCAGTTGTTTGTAGATTTTATGTGATGTCTCACAAGTAGCCTAATTAGAGGCAAGCTTGCAAATGGGCAGCAATACAGGAAGAGACTTAAACTCACTAAACTGTTATATAAATAGAAAGTTCAAAGGTCTTTGTGAGGCTGTCAAGGCTGAGAAGGGGCCATGTGCCAGCCAGGCTTCTTCTATTTGGATGAAGGTAGCCCCCAGGGTCTGCTCCAGCAGCTAACACTTTCCCAAGTTTTCTGGACCTTGTGGGGGCTGGAGGGAGGGGACCTGCTTTCCAGACAAAAGTGAACTGTTCCAGTTCCAGCGAGGCATGGCCTGCACCACAGCAGCCCATCTGTCTCCACCCACTCCAGTGTTCCACACAGGTCCTCTGGGGCTTCCTTAACTGTAGTCTACCAGAAGAGTGGAGCAGGACTGTTTGTGTGGGAAATAGACGAGTACAACCTTCATCATGCTGAGGCTACTAGAGCAGCACTGGGAGGGGGAGGTGTCTCATTTTCTTTAAGGCCTGGAGGTTCACAGAACTTCTGTTCTCTGCTGTCATCCATTGATCTTTTTCTCTTTATAGTCTGTGGGGCATTAAAAAGAAATTCTCTAAAGTTCGTGTTTTTAACCTAGTGTGATATTCATTCTCTAGTATGCTTGTGTATTCACTCAGCAAAGCAATTTGGATCCAGTGTTTTAGAGAAAAGATTGAAAGTAGTAATACTTTGTACTGAAAAGATCTGCTCTACAACCTCCAGATATCCCTGCAAAGAGTTAAAGCTATCTCAGTAAATCTTAAAAGTTACATCTATTGGACAAAGAAGAAAATTATTTCATGTAAGAAACAAGTTAATTATACATGAATTGTTTTGCTTATGGTTCAGTCAAGCATTTATCATTATAGTCGTTCATTACCTTCCAAACATTTAAACATTTTATAGATGAATAAAATTATATTGTATTCAAATATGTTAATTAATGCTAGATAGAAATGACTTAAGTATGTTGAACCATTATTTTATGTCCATTGTTCTTAAGATGTGACTATTTCTTGTGTTCAATATTTGCACATATTTAACATAAATTCAAAATTCTAAAAATCCAAAGAAATGGCCATCTGTAGCACAATATAGAAGTTGCTTCCCTAAGAACTTGGAACTCTAGGTCATACTTCAAAGGAGTCAATAGTCATACACTAGATTAACTTCTCATGTAGACAAAACAGTTCAGTGATTACATTTTTCTCTTTTAATTTTGTCTTTTTGTGGTTGCTATGAGATAGAGGAAGAGCATCTTAAAAACAACATATTCACTGGTAAATGAGAAGACTGTGTGCTGCAGATTAACAATATCAAGAACTGAACTTGAATAAATGATTTTGAGGGCATGTGCTTGTGTGTTTTTCAGCTCCAATAGAGCTCAGGCTCGTTACTCTTTTAGTTTGAATATTAGTTGAATATATTATGGGAGGCTCTCTGCTCCATACATTCAATACTCAACTTCACTCACTTAATCTTTCCAACAACTTTCTGCGATATCCTGTCCTGAGATGATAGCTATTTTCAGGAATGTCAGCTACTTATTTATGCTGGTCTGATTTCACCTGACATGCAGCAAACCCAAAGGACATTTTGGCAGAATATTTCTGACAAGTTTATTGCTATTCCTTATGACAATTCTTTTTTTTTATCATTTTGAGTTGTAAGTTATCAGAGTTATTCCCATGTTATTGATGAACAGAGTGGATTCTAGAGAGGGTATATACATTACACAAGTCCATACAGCCTGGTGGCCATGACCAGAAAGCCATATCTCTAAATTCCATATCAGG